CTTGAGTAGCAAAGACAAGTTGGCTGAAAGGAAGAGAAATAAAGGTGTTTGATGTAGACAAACTATTTCAATAAAGATAGTGAAGATTTTAGTAACTAGACATTTTCTGCTAATAGATGTCTTAAATACTGCTTATTTAAATGAGATAATGAGGGGGTAAAGTCCCTGAAAAATAAAAACAAAAAAAATAAATTAAGGTAGGCAAGATTAGTATGATTTCATGGTACAGGATAAATTATCATCAGCTGTATGTGACTAGATCTCCCAGTAGGCCTAGATTCTTAAATCCAAAGGAAATTATTTTTGAAAAATATAGCTAGATCTGTCACAAGAAGTTCCAGCATCCTGTTTTGCAGTGTGTGCCATGGATTTTAACAAGTGGCATCTGCTTAAAGCCCATCCTGACATGTTCCGCTTAGTAGAATTTGTTTTCATCTTTTGCACAACTTAGGGTTTTTTTGAGGAATCTTAGAAAAGTTAAGTTTTTTTGAGTAAAAGAATATATTTTTAAATATGCTGGTTTACTTCAAGGACTTGGTTGCATCGTTTGCTTGCCAAGCTCCATTACAAGCACAGAAGACAGACAAACTAAAACAAATACTAGCAGATCCTAGAAGAATGCAACCATGTTTAAGACTCCAAGAGCAAAACTCACTTTGAGAGCCACAGTATTTAAATGAGGGCACTGAGCAACATATTCCCCTGTCTGAAGACACTGAAACATAAGGCAAGGCAAATAAGGGAGACAATGCAAATACAAAGGATCTGTGTGAGGTTACTGGCTGATCCAGAAAAGAAAAAAAAAAAGGAAAAAAAAGAGAAGAAAAAAAAAGGAAAAATAAAGTGGAAAAAAAGAATAAAAACCCCCAAACTGTTATTTGTATGCAAAGAGTAAGAAACTGAATCATTTCAGTTACGAAACAGAAAAACTCAGGCTATGTATTTGGGATACACATGAGGAAAATAACTTAGTGCAGGTTCTTGAAAACTGAGTTAGTATATCTGGAAAAAGTTGAGTGGCTTGATTTGGAATAAAGAACTTAACCTAAAGGGTATTGCTTGTTATGTCTGCTCAGGCACACGGAGGGCTCCTTGTCTGTCAAAAGCAGGTTGCTATTAATTCACCACACTGAAGTCCAGGGCATTAAAATGCCCTAAAATGATCTATTGGAAGGAAGAGAATTTGAAAACTACGGAAACTTATTTAGATTATTGAAGTGTTACGCTAAGGATGAACAGGAACTGGAAATGGGAAGCCATTTTATGTAATACAATTTTCCACATTTTAATTGATTGAAGAGGTACTCACTACAATATTTTATTTATTCTGTGACTTAAAAAAATCCACCGCTAACATTTTTAAAGACTGTCACAGCCATTCAGAGCTAGCAATAGTAACTATATCATTCTGATCAGCACAGTACAGGTATGTTGAAGCAAATGGCCTCTTCTTTCATTTTTGTCTTGTAATGCACTCAAGTTATAACCTAGGTCAATTTTTGTGAGGCCACTTCAAAATGCACCAAGTAATGGTGATCTGACTAGTGACCTTAGTTATAACTGCAGTCTTCATCTTGTAGCTTTTCTGTCATTTTCTCTTGTGCTAAATAGCAAGGAGTGAGAGCCAAACACATGCTCCCTGTCAAACCAAACCTCAGGCAGGAAGGAGATGAAAGCACAAGTATTAAGTTCTGGGATCAAATTAGCCTTTGACCCCAAAAGGCTTTCAGCCCCGTGACCCTTAGTGATAGATGATACTATGTTACCACAAGTAATTTCAGTAAACCAAGCAAATTTTTGTTTATTAATGCCACTCAATAATTTTATTAATGCCACTCAAAATGCTTATGTGTTAAGTGGGGACTGAACTAGGGCAGTGTCTTCAAAGCACTGAGCTCTTTTCGGAAAATCTTTTATTGAAAATTAAAAGAAAAGTTAGGGGATTTTGAATAGCATACATAGTACTGCAACAATTTCAGTGGCTAATCACTGCTTCCCAGCAATGGTGGTGAGCTGGACTGAGAAACTGAACCAGCTTTAAAACACGGAAACAGAAAACACAGAAACATAGAAAAAGTAAAACGGGGGAAAAAAAGGAAAAGAAAGGGTTATGCAGTAGGCAGAATGAAAAACAGTTTACTTCCTGGTTGTCCAAAGGATGACAGGATCACTGTGTGAAACCTGGTGTAAGCGGGGTACATGCAGCAGGAACTGGAAAAAGCAGGTATTCTAGAGTGCCCTGGGCAGCACCATAGCTGAACCCACCATAAGAGTTTTAATTTGTAATGCTCCATCCTCTGTCAAGCGAGCTTCCAAGTTCAATCCATTTTACCACAAGTCTATGTGTTCACTTCTTTCCCAATTTGGAACCTGAAGGTGATCAGAGTAAACCAGCAGCTTTCTTGAATTAGAGCATTACTGTATTCAGAATTAATGGTTGAAGGGTTGATGTAATTATTAAGTTTTTAATTTTTGGCTATTCCTAACAAGAGCTGTGTCTTCAGCACAGCATCAAGATCAGCTTCTTGCTGCAGTATCAGTGAAGCATTTTTCTTTCATGTTCACTCACATCAGTATTAGACTTTTACTCCAGTCTTCTAAGCATCTAGTAGAAAACTGAGACAAGTTATAAAAAAAACCAAAACAAACTGCAGATATCAGTAAGGGATATAACCTAGATTTCAAGTTTTATCGCTGCCTGATTCTATTATGATTATTTTGGCTAAGTTTCTTGGTAGATTCAGTGAAAATTAATGTTGCAAAATGTGGAATATGTCAAGATTATCTTAAGTCAGGATGTCCTTCGATGTAAGATACTCATAAACTTTCACGCCTAATCAGCAAGAAAGGAGACCTAATCAATGTGGACCCTGAGATTAGCTCAGTTGGTTAGAGAATGCTGTTAATAACACCAAGGTTGTGGGTGTGATCCTTGTACAGGTCATTCACTTAAGAGTTGGGCTTGATAGTCCTTGTAGGTCCCTTCCAACTCAGAATATTCTGTGAAATGGAACAGGCAGCAGTTAGCAACCCTTACTCAAGGACATCCAGGAACTAACAAGTTTTAAGAATGCAGTAAATCAAGATGTTGATGTATGTCTATGTATACATTGCTAACTTGGCAAAATACTCAAGGTCCATGTATCCTATAGCTGAACTATGTTCATTATAATACTAAAACTTGTGCCTACAGGTCAAAAAGACCCCTGCCCCGTGAAGACCCCCTCTCCTAAGCATGTATAGGGGTTATGTAACTTGTATAGAAATTACTAACCTATCATAATAGAGGAACTGGACTTGGAAAGTTACTAACTCCGAACTTCTGCGTATAAATAATGGCATGAAAAGTCTGGAGGGTCATGCTTGATTTGTGGACCACCACTCAGCACCCAGGCTTGCAGACATCTGGAATAAACAATCTGTGTCTCTCTCAGGTGTGTAATTATTAGCTTGTTGCACTCTGGGTAATGAATCTGATTGTGTGGACAACACTAATGTAAGTTGAATTGCTTTCTTTACCCATTATAGCTGGTGATGGCGGTTTTCCTGCTTGTGTAGTTGCAATACCCTTAATTTATCCAGTAATTTCCTTTGGCACTTTCTGAAGAAATTAAGAGTTCTTTTGAGAAAATATCTTCCTAGACCATTTAAATTCTACAGATCAAAAGTGTCTCTTTTCTAAGTTTTCAGAAGGTGGGATTTTTGTAGTTCACTTTCCCCAGAAGAAAAAGAAACTCCTCATCTTATGGAAAATGTACACTAAACAGCAATATTCTCCTGTTTTTCCTTCTGTACAGAAGATACAGTGAGCCTACACACGATCTCTCTTGACTATCTAAACAGTAACAACTGAGGCAGGTAGTCAAGCACTTCACTAGCCTTCACATGAAGTGTTCACTATTTATAGTAGCAGTATCGTTAACGACAGAGATACAGACAAGTATTCATTTTATGAGTAAAAGCAGGCTGAAATAGGGGCTGATGCTCTAACTGTCTAGCAGATTTCGAGCAATTGAGTCAGCAGTCCATCCCGTGCACAGAACATAGATCATCAGTTTTTTCAGTCTACTTGAACCAGCAGTTCTGGTCTCATAGAAGCTATTCATGTAGCTTGTCTTCAGGTGCAAATTCTTAAAAACAAACGACTTCCTTTCTGCTAAAAATATAGCATGACTTCCTGCAACTTCCCAATACTATATGCAGTGAAGTTAAGCCTTTTTGTAGCTTGTGCAAAGGTGGTAGAGCATAACTGTCTACAAGAACATTCTTGCAGAAAAGCCAAAGGGTGGGGAAGACAGGGAATTTTTCTCAACTGCCTTAGCTCATTTCTTAGCTCTAAGAGGCTTTAATTACCTCTTAATGTGAAACTCTCTGAAGTCTCCCTAAACAGCTTTCAGGTGGTTTTGAAGGCAGGGGTTGGCAAGAATAGGCTCTACTTCAGATTAAATTGCTTGCCTCCCTAGCTGTTTGCATGATGAACAATAACCAGTTCATTATGTTAAAGTATTGAGGCACACCTTAGGAGAAACACGACAAACCACCTTTGTAAGAAACACATGATACCATTACAGCAACAGTTCACAAAACAAAAATTTTAGTCTATTTTGCCTCAAATGAATTCCACTGTCATCTCAGGAGTAAGATGAGACACCTGGCAGTAACTATGCATGACAAACCAGAATTGATATAGAAAGAAATAATATCATCCCTCACAATATCCTGTTATTTCACCCCCACACACTGCGGCAGCTAAACTAAGCAGGGACCTAACTGGAACAAAAATCGTCCTGACGTCTTCCTTTCCCTTTCACCACAAGATGCAAATAAATACACCGGCTAAACCTAAACAAGCACAGACACATGAATGAATGGTAATATGGAGGTAAGGTAGGACTTACCTCAGCTGCAGCTTCAACTGTATGGAAACTTACAGTAAAAACATTTTAGGTCTTCATCATTAGGATTTTTTGGTGGTGCTTTTAGAGGTTCTTCTATGGTGGGAAGAGGCAACATCATTTAGAAAAATAACTTTATTTTTCTGTACTCAATGTTAAAATAATCTGGAATGCAAGTTGAGCTTGACACAAAGCAGAAACCAGCAGTTCCATCAGTGACATTTAGACACTACTGCAGTTAAGTTTTTGAGAAATTTGAGTCATTTTGAATCCAAAAGCAAGACTCCCAGTACACTAAGAAGTGTAAAATTACAAATCTAAATCTCATCAGGCATAAAACTGAAATTTCCCTGAGAAGATGTAATTACAAACTAGTGTATACACTTTATATCACAATATCAGGGGGCTTTGAGAGTACAAAAGCAAGATTTGGCTACAAAAATTTAAATGTGATTCCTTAATACTCCATGCTAAAGACAAAATTTTCAAGAGGACTAAGAATTACATGTAACAGAACTGCAGCAAGCAGACTTAAATTATGACAGCTGGCTTTGCATATCCCCTTTTGCATAGTTTTCAGATAATTTCTAATGTTATATTCCTGAGTCTTTCAGTACTCAGAACAAAGTCTTTGCAGTCCAGCTGCATTTCCCCCCAACCCTTCATCTTTCTCTTCCAGCTAGCATTGCATTCATGGGAAAAAAAAATGAATAACCATGAATAACACGCATTTTCCAAGCCCTAAAACAAACGGTTTAGCCAAAGGAAATTCATTAATTACACCTTCTAGAAAATAAATATTCCAAATAGCTGGCCTTCCAAAAGTTGCTGTTGTGATTTTGTACCTAAAGCTCTGAGCCTCAGTGTGCAATACCAGGGATCCCCATATTCACTTGAGACATGTCTTTTCTTCCCCTTGTCCATCACCACCATTGCTGTTACGCGTCAAAGTACTTAGCAGTATAGTATTTGTACCTATGTTTTGTAACAGGAGCATACAGTATTTCACTTCTTTTGCATATACAAAGCCTTGTGTCGCAAATACTCTTCCAAACATTTCACTGCAAAAGGGTCAACATCAGTGTCAAACTTATTAGCAAAGAAGTGGTGGTTTCGTAGCATCCAGTTCAAGTCTCCTACCCCAAAAACACAGACAGAGCGAATGTGAACTCCGCTGCATGGTGGGTACGGTGCACCTTTGGACACGTCACCTTCAAAGTACTGCCACTTGACAAACCTGGCCAGTGCATTCATGTCAGAAACATCGTACTTGTCACTAGAAGAAACTGCACCTGGGACATCAGGGATTCTCTGAATTGTTGCCCACAGGTACTCATCTGGGCTGTAAGTATCTTTTGCCCACTCAATGAACTCAAGTATTTTGCTGCTTTCTAAAACATATTCTACAAATCTTCTGCTAACTATAAAATAGGCACTACCAGAAAAAATTGGAGTACTCAGAGGTGGTAGTTGTTTGTCTGTGCCTGTGTTCTTTATTTTACCATCAATAATCTCATGGTGTTTTTTCCACCTTACTTCTTTATAAACAGGCATTTTTTCTGTTTCCAAGCTGTTTTCACCTTTAAGGGCTTTTAATTTCTCTACTATTTCCTGGTTGGTTTTTATAGGAAAGTCCATACCACATAGATTTATTAGGTATTTCCAGTTTGAACTTCTACTGTAGAGATCTTTCATGCAGTTAATGTCTGCCTGCACCCTGCTCCATGAAGCATATACCACACTCTCTAACTGGCTTGAAATAAAGACATTATCAAAACATGAGACTATTCCCTTCACAGCAGTGAAAAAAGATTCTGGAGATTTTTTGTCTACATGAATGCAGTAAAAATTCTGTGGAGCATAGATTGATCTTAGAAGTCTATCAAGCATCTCAATTTTGTGATAAACCACTATTGAGTAAGCAATCGGAAATTCTGCTTCTTCATTGCTGAGAGGTTCCATAATGTATTTCCTAGTCTTGGTGAAGGAGGCACAGTCTGCCGTCATGTTAATATAATCATTTGTTGTTAGCCTGGGGCGTTTCTTAAATGACACTGACAATGTCTCAAGCTTTACCTTTTGTATTTCTTCTATATCCCCCTCAATAATCTTGGTGCAGTTAACATTGCTAATAGGATCTTCTTTTGTTAGCTCTAGATGTCTCTGATTTAAGAAGTCTTCTTTCTGGTTAACTTTCAAAACTGAAATGATTACTAAAATAAGAGTTAGACCCAAGAAAAGCCTGAAGCGCAAATTATGGCAAAACCGTAATTTCCTCTTCAGCATTTCAAACACCAGGTAGCTTCGCACGGCTAAAAAAAAAATGTCCTCCCTTCTGCTCATATCAGCATCAACAACTTCAGAAACAAGTTTGTGTTTCTCAGGAATTTGGCGAGTTTGTCAGGAAAATGGAAGGAAAAATCCTAAAAAGAAATGAAATATGATGTCATTCAAAGACTAAAACATTTCTTAAAAAAATTATTAATTAATAATCACATTGTTATTTAGTGACAGTAAAAAGATGAATAGTTCAGCCAAAAATATTCTGTTGAAAATCAGAAATTAATGAATAAAATTAGCTTATTTTTCTAGAAAAAGACTGGGAGAAGCAGATAGTTTTTTGTGAAACCTTATTTCCACAGTACTAAGACTACAAACCAAAGTTCAGTAAGAAAACAGAGCTGATTCAGCTGCATCTAACAAAGTTTAAGTCAGATACATTACTGAGAAGCAAGTATTTCTTGTTAATTCATGCTTCAGAGTTTGACAAGAATGCTTTACACCCATTTCAGTGTTGACAGACACTTGACATTGACATTATCATTAAAACTTACACTTCGTGGATGGTAGTCATGCTTTATTTCTCATAATAAAAGAAGGCAATAAAGGCAAAGAAGATCCTGAAGCCTTTCAACATTTTTATGTGAGGTACAGTCTCTTCAATGTCTTGTGCATGAGCCTAGAAATACCAGCAGTAAACAGCTGATGAGAAGTGGGGGGGAAATTAGTATAGCAGAGCACCTCAGTTTTGAGAAAGTTGTGAGAACAACTGTTACTGAATTGCTGAAATACCTTTTTAAGGTAAAAGATAATACTTATCACCTATATCTCAAGCTGACTTGTGTGAAGTCACTGCAAATGCACAAATCTAAGAGCACAGCAGTGTTGTATTACCATTTTTTAAACACACTTGTTTTTATGTGGAAATGTGCTGCAAGGTTGAGTAGCAGTAAGATTTCTAATATGAGAATTTTATTTTCATCTTTACTTCACAGGCACTACATCATTTTTGTTTGTTAGCTTTGCTTCCTCTTAAGCACCTTTTTTCTGTTTCAGATATTCTGTGAAGGGATCACTGCACAGTAATGCAGCTGCTACAGCTGCAGCTGTTGAGAAAACTAAAGTGTATTAAAGAACTGGGTATCTTTTTTTTTTTCTAAGTACTACCTTAAGCAGGCAAATTGATATTTACCTGAATATCAAGAACAGGATATCCTTAAACAACTTACATTGCTACTCAAGTGCCATTTCTACTCACAAATTCACTGCCTAATAACTTAGTGCAGGTTTGAATTTCAACCTCTAACTGCAAAAGCTTATATAGTTTTCAGAGAATGTCTTCTAAAATTTGAATCTGTAAGTTAATGAAATATCCAGTATTTGAGAGATATAAAGCTCCTTAAATTTTTGCTACTTTCAAGAAAAAAACAGTGCCTCTGTATAACTTTCTGAACAGCTCTAAGAATAACAGCTACTCAGAAAAACTGGTAAGAAACTTTAAGAAAAAGAAGCAGTACTGCATCCACTTCTGGGTTTTGCTATAGGCTGTTTAGCATAAGAATTTCCTTTTTTTGGCCCTCTTTTATTTAAGCTACCCCAGTGTCATTTTAGCTTTTACTTCATCAACTGTGGCTCTTAACCTGCTACTTGCACATCTCAGAATAGGTACATTTAAGAAACTGAGGCCTGGCATCAGAGTTTTTTGTTAGTAATGCTGCCACTGGGACATTGGGTCCACCACTTTGCCCACAGCACTGCAAACTGAGGGAGCTGACACGTGTAGGAGATGGGGGGCAGGTGCAGATCACTGCACAAATGTCTGACACAGCCATGAGGATCAGCAGTATTCTAAGTGCTATAATCAAGCATCTTGTAACTCAAGCCAAGAGCAAGCAGAGACCACAAACTAGACATGAATTTGTGACTAACAGCATTATATAAACATCTTAACTACTGTAAAGTGTACTTCGTTTTCAGAGTTGCAATTCTAATTATTATATCCTGCATTTCTTATTTATCTTAGGGAAGGTGGACATTTGTTTGGAAGAAAATTTAAATTTTAACCCTTAAGACAAGTAGCCAGGTGAGCTAGCATGCAATTACAGCTGAAAACATAGAGAGGTACATTCACACTTTGAATTAAAATAAAATTTTAAAAGAAAAATTCCACAATTCCAGCTTTCAGTTTGCAATGTGACATTGGACACAATGACAAAAGTCAGAATAAGTTTTAACATGTTTTATAACTTTATCACACACTTGCTTACTTGATGTCCTGCTAGTTTTGACTGGTAGATCTGATCCAATAAAAATAATATTCATCACATATTAAATTAACAAAGGAAGGATACAAGCTGTGTATGTGATACTGTCTATTACTGCTTTCTGCCTAACAACTTAAAACTTTTTTAGAACTTAAAGTGTACTTCAAATACACTTATATTTGTGACGCTTTAGGTGACAGAAGTCGGAATACTTTCTTTAAGCTGTTAGCGCTACCATTTTATCCTATTCTTAGTTTTCAGAGGACCACTATCACTGAAGAGTAACACACACTCAAGAAGATTACTACCCCCTCGCTGTTTTTACAATGCAGGGAAACAGTCTTAATTGAAAGTGACCATCGTGGTCTTCACCTTCTAAAATTTTCCAAGAATAAAGCTTGCTAAGAAATCTTTCCTGCTCCAGTTTCAGAATAAAACTTAATTGAAAGCAGGATAAAGAATCTCTTTCAGAAAGGCCTTGTATACCCAGCTGGGTGCAATTCCTCTATTGTTATAAGACCCTGCATTTTCATTATACCAAAATGAGAGATCTGCAAACATTTACACATTAACGTGGCTCTTATCTTTACGTGGAGATTTTTCCCCCACAGTCAAATTTTTTTTTCACTGACACACTGCCTCCTCTGACCAATTTTAACAGTAAGTTACTATTTGTTTACACTTGCAATTTCTAAGTCCTAAAACTTGATCATATCCCATTCACAGAAGCTGACCTTTACAGGGTAAGATTTGGTACCTTCCATCTAATAATGCATCTAATATTCTTAACAAGCCTAGAATACTCATTAATATAGCATTTGACTGCATTCAGTAAAGCTTTTAACATCTTTTTCTTTAGCTCTGCGTAGTTTTAGTGTGCATACTCAAGAATACCCTGTCAGAGGCAGCACTTTGCACTGTGGGAGAGCCGAGAGACGTTTGTGCTGCCACAGAGAAACAGCTTCATTTGGCAACTTTCGTCTTGCTCTCAACTGAAATTCAGCTGCAGAAGTTACATACCTGACCCACTTCCTTTTTTACTGCCTCCTACTCAAGTCAGAGTCTGTATTTCTGATGCAGTAGTCATTAAAAGGGGAAACTTAGAGCAGTTGCTGGTAGTTGGGGTAGTTAGTACAAAGGCTGAGTTAGCTGCCCGCTTCCCTCTTTCCTACCAAAATTATTCTTCACTGCTGTATATAAACTGTACAGCATGATTAAACAAATCCAAGATAATTTCAACTTGATTTCTACTAGAAACTCGTGTTCACCATTTAAACAGACCTTATGGAAAGAAGGATTATTACACCTAATTTAACTCTCCATTTCTGACACCTCTTTGGTGTCAGAGAGCATATCACTTGGCTCATTTGCATCTTAAGTTTGTTTTGTGAACAAGTATTAAGCACCTGGCAGTTTGGGAGCAGTCTTGGTAAAAACTAGGTTCTGATTTAACTTTTATACTATTTAACTGTAAAGGTGCAAGTGTAAAACAGCCGATTTCAGTAACAATGTCTTTAGCTGGTCACTATATAAATTTGAGTTAACTCTACATGCTAAATTACTAATCTGCCCATGGAACTGACTGAAATGAGTCAGCAGTAGACTACATGGATATTTATGATAAAGGAGCCACAGACAGGAGGGAGCAGCGCCCTCCAAGTCCAGCTTAGCATATGATTTTAGATAAGTTTGGCTTCACCCACCCTTAAAAGCAAATACAAAATCCCACAAGAAACCTAGGTTTCAAAAAAAAGCCCAAAAAGACAACTAAACAAAAAACTTTTACAAGATCATACCACAACTTGGAGGGAGACCAAAGTTCACATGAAGGTTTTATGCAGACAGGTTGGACTGGAGCTGGCAGTCCTGAGAACAAGGATGCTTGTGAGGGCACAGAGCCAGCAGAGCACTGCTACACCAGCCCTGACAAAGGGTGTGAGCCTCAGTCCAGCATCGTGGACACCAGCCTTTGGCTGCCAGCACAGCAGACCTCTTCAGCTGCAGTTTCACAGTGCAACTGGTCTGACACCATGATGTGCTGGTGGTGAAAGGAATGACCCCACATCTCTGCCAACCACACATCAGGCCAGAAGGGGTACAACAACAGAGTGAACCATCTGGGCTCTAGGGAGCTCTCCAACATCAGCTCTCCTGGCTGCTGGCAGGGCCACAAGAGCCCCTGACAGCTCCAACCAGCCCCCTCTGCACTCCCCTGTGACCCCATTGCATACCAGTGACACCGCTGCAGGGCCAGTCTCTAGCCCCACAATCTGGCCACGGACAGTGACAAGCTGATCCAGTCCAGCCTCAGCCAGGGAGGTGCCTGATGTCAGGGCATGTCTGTGCCCACCAACTGCCCCGCTCCTAACCAGGCCCTGATAGACCTGACATGGGGAGCCACCAGCCCTGCGGTGCCACGGAAATCTCCCCTCGCCATGCCACAGTCCAGAAAACACAGGCTCTGGGCTGTAGGCTCTCGCTTGGACTGATATAGCTGGGAGTGAGAGATACAGCTTTTCCTAAATGAGGTGAAAAGCAACAGCAACCTCTAACCAGCCTTATGCTAGGGTGACTATTCACTCTGCCCAAGTTACAGCACCAGTATTGGGAAAAGGGGACTCCTGGCACTCCAAGGCCTCCCTCATGCCAGCTCACCTAAAACACATGGTCCTCCTCTGTCCTGCCTGAAGCAATTTAGAGAGCAGAGTGAAATAGTAAATTAAGTAAATATTTTTTTGTATTTAATCAATTACCAATACATTTTCACTCAAAGTAAAATTTTTCCTCCAAAAAAGCAGTTAGGGCTTGCAGGGAAATGGTGCACAGATCCATGTCACAATAAGATGAAAATCATTAGGGGCTGGTGGCATAGGAATAAAAGAAAAAAAGCAGTTATCTTTCAATTTTGGCACTTCATTCTTCTCTTGTATCAGTGGAAAAACGGTTGATGCAACACTTCAAACACTGATTTAGCAGAAGCATTGCAGCCTCCAAAATACATCTTGGGCCAGTATCAGCACCAGAAATTCAGAAGGCGGCAGGTACACGGTAAGAAAGTACTCTGGGGTACTTCAGCAGCCTGTACATTTTGTTAAAAGCGGGCAAAAAGGCAGGAAAGACCTTAGAGTTAGGAAGCATCACAGAGGCTGGTAGGCAGTCAAAACAAGTTCTAACAAGAGCAGGGAAGATCTGATAGGTCTTGCAGACCTAGCTGCAATGTCCTGGTGTCATGACTCTCAGCCTTGTGGGCTGCTGAACTAAAGTTTCCTTCATTTTTCTTCCTATTCTGCTTCCTCTAACAAATATCAGAGGAAGCAGACAGTGATGTTTGCTGTGTTGTAGTTGCTTCAGTGACTTTTGGCATAAAGGTACTGTGGAGAGCACCCAGCAACATGAACATTATGCATAGGCCTCTATTTTATGCCCACAGACACATCAGCTTTTAATCAAAGCTTTACAACAGTTACTTGAAAACTTCCTGGCAGTTGCACTAACATCCTACATCCATGCATGACAACATGAGACTTTTATTTTTACAGAAATGTATTGAAGAAAAGCCAAGTGGAAAATACAGTACTGAGTACATCCATGTCTGAAGCGGTAGCTGGGATGGGCCAGGAGACAAGTAATCATCTTGATGGATGGGGAGTGAGAGTCAGAAATTACTTATTTTTCTCTGTTCTCATTTTGGAGGAAGGGAAGATACAAGGAAACTTCAGCTACCCCTGAGAACAGTAAGTGGTGTTGACCTTGCTGTTCTCTTTCCCCATTCACAAATTCCACCTGAGATACAAACCTTTTCCTCAAAACTACAGAATAAGTCCTTCTACTGACGGTGGATTTGCTGGAAAGCCCCTGAATTTTACCAAGGCATATCCGGGATGCTTCCAAGCCACAGATCCCAGTTATTACAATTAGCCTGCTTCCATTCAGATTCAGTTATGCAAAACATTAATTCTGATGAGGAAGTGATTTTTAAAGCTGTAAGCACCTTGTATGAACACAAACATGCCTAAGCACAGACAGACTGAACAGATACAGTGCTATTGGCAGAGATCTGCCAGACAGAGCAAAGTCACATTTACTCAGCCTCTCCATGATATCAAGCAGCACAATCTTGAAAGCAGATACGCCTGTAACTGGATCAAAGAACTCATGTTTGTTCCATTAGATAGTTTTCAGTCGTAGTGCAAATGAGAACTGGCCATAAGCTGAGTAGTTGGCTTACCATTAGGCTTTATGGGACTCTTAACTTTGAAATCATGCAGAGACAGCAGCAGGGTTTCATGTGGGTACAGTTGTCTGCAACTGACAACACTCTGCAGGCACAGGGCTTTTCTTTCAGAGCTGCCTAAGAAAATAATAAAAGAGAAAAATGCACTCCCTTTTTATAGAAAAAAACCCCACACATTTCTAGTCCCTTTTAAACAAAACTCCACAAATGGCTAGTACTGCTAAATTCACCACTACCTGGAAATTTAATAGTGAGAGTAGATAAAAGTAGATAGCTGTTTTTTTCAGAGATTAAAAAAAGGATGAAAATAAATTCAAACCCTTGGGTTATTTTTTGAGAGCTTATGTTCAAATGTTAGGAATCTGACACACTAAAATATTTGTGTTTAAAAAAACGAGTAAAACCCACATGAACATACACTCTGTGTAGTGTAAACTGAAAAGTTACTAGCCTTTCTAGTATACTCTTGTACTACTGTATCAAGTAAATCTTGTGCAGAACAGTTCAAAGCCTGATTACTATTTGCATTCCTGTCTATCCTTAGAGGCCCCACCAACAGAGCTAATGGTAAGAAATTTCAACTAAGGAGAGTAAAGATGTTAAGGCAAAGTCATTCAGTGCCCAGTTCCTACCTCAAGAATTCTGTGACTCTTAGCGTGGACAAAAAGATATGTTTTACCTTAAGGTAACTAACACTGAAATTACACAGAAATCCCAAAACAAAAAAAATCACAAAATCTTTACAGTAATGTCATTCTATTTAACACCCAGTAAAACTGCCCGGTGTTTATCAAGGTAATTTGGCTCCTTCAAAGTAAAATGTGTATCTATTTTTTTCATGTAATTCTAAAGTAGGAACTATAATTTCACCAGCAACAAGAGCAGTCACTGCACTTCTCATGCCCACCTACAAAATTTTGCTGATTGCTGCCTTGGGACAATGCTGTATTTCAGAATGGGACACACTGGTAGGAAAGGTAATCTAAAAACAGAACTAAACCTCATGGCAGAAGGAAGAGGCTGTCAAATTTACTTGGATCCCTCTTCAAGCACAACATATAAAATATTCTGAGGAGATATTCTTTAGCCCTATGTAGAAACCATTATTTTAAAGCCATGCCTATACTTAAGAGTTCCTCAGTGAGCTTTCTGGGATAACCTATCACAGATGAGGTTTCTGTTTGTTTTATTAAGTTCCTCTAACAGCACCACAATTAATCTGCTTTACAGTGGAAGAAATGGTGTCCTTGGAGCTATGAAGTAAACTTAATAGTACAAGTTACTTGTATTGTTGAGCACGCTGTATTTCTGTGGAACTACCTTTTTTCACCATTCCTAAGACAGAATTCTAGGTTGATAGTTAGGTGTTCTCAAGAGCAAGTTTCAGGAGCTTATAAACCAAAGCAAGTGGAGAACTTCTGAATTATGTTGAAAGCCAAAGGAAAACAGAGAGGAGGAGATTATTAAAAAAACAAAATTAAATCTTTTCATAAGACTAGCAGTGGGCTTTCCAACATAGTAACAATGGTAACAAATTTGAAGAGCAGGATTTTGTTCCATGAACACCATATTCTCAGCAAATAGACTGTAAACCTTTAGCTTGTATGTTTGCCTCTGCGTTTGGTTTATGTTAGAAAAAAGGTAGAGTTGGCAAAGGTATTAGGGTTATATTAAACAACTTTTGGCTCTTCTGGCCTCAGGAATTAAGTATTACCCCAGACAATTCAGATTTCATAGGAAAGACATTATGCTGATAACTAACATTTATTATAGGTAGAGTAGAAAATCAATGAGGAGACAAAATATAAGTAGTATTTTCTTTTGTATACAGATACTTTCAAAAGCAATGTACCATCCTAACTGAGCTCCAACTAGAGCTACAAATACTGCATTATTTTTCACAAGGATTTTCAAGTTGAAATAGACAAGAAAGCTATATTTGTCCCCTCTTGTCTCACTACCATTTCTGACTGTTATTCTTGCCAGCTCTGTGGTCACCCACCTCATATTCCATTAAAAACGAAATTTAAAATAGCGGACTCCAAAATGGCAATTCCCTCCTGCTGCCACTCCTCCCCTTTCCCACAAAGAAGTCTACTTTTTTGAGCAACACTGAAAGGAGGCAAAGTGCCAGAACATAACTGAAACTCCTCTCAGGCTTCTTTCACAGTCCTCTCACCCAACCTGGGCCACAGAAAACTATTTACAACCTTCTAAACAGTTTCTCAATTCTGAAGAAAAAAAAATAAGGAAAGAAAAAGGTAGTTCCAGTGAGTTTAGGGGGGGGGAGGGGAAGCCACACCCCAGGACTGCAACACCTCGAGCATCAGATGTCCCCCGAATTCTGTGCTCGCTAACATATTTCACACCCACCACCACCCCCCGAGGGCAACGGCTTGCCCCAGGCTCCCCTGCACGCACTGCCGCGGGGAGAGGCAAAGGGAGGACGGGAAGACAGAGATAGACAGAAAGTGGGGAAACAAAACAAACAAACAAAAAAGGAAGCGTGGAGAGGTAAAAGCAAACCAAAAAGGCAGAAGGAAAACGGGGAGAAAAGGGAAAAGACTGGGAAAACAAAATAATTACAAACAAAGAGAAAAGGAGAGAGAGGAGAGGGGGATAAAGGGAGAGAAAAGGAGGGGGAAAGCGGGAAAAGAGGGGGGAAGGGGGGTAAAGAAAGAAAAAACGGGGAAAAAAGAGAGAAGGGGAGGGAAGGTTTGGGGACGGAGGCTTGGGTAGGGAAGAGGGAGGAGAGAGGAGAAAAATAAGGAGAGAGGCACAAAAATGCGCCTCCCTGGGCTCCAGTGCCGCACCTGCCCGATGGTCCTGCCGCTCCTGGAGTTGCGCTGCTCCGCTCCGAAGGGTAGGGCGCCCGGGAAGAGCGATGCGCCAGCCCGGCAGAGCCGCCACCCGCTCCGGGGCCACGCCGTTCCCGGTCCGGCGGCAGTGCCCACCTGCGGGGCCGCGCTCGGTGCAGGGCGGCAGCCCCGGGACCCAGCAGGGAGGCCCGCGGCGACACGCACGTCCCGCCTTTTCGGCGCCCGGACTGCGGCCCTGCACTGGCCGTCCGCCCCCGGGCGGCCCCGCGCTCTCACGACACCACCACACCACCATCCACCTCCTCGTCCGACCCGCCCTCCGCGGGCGCCGGCGTGTCCCGCCCCCGACCCCGCCCCGCCTTTACCTGGATCGAGACGCCGCCAGTAGTTTTGGCAATGGCCCTTGTTTGTCCCTTTTTTACTTTTTTTTAACGCTTCCCCGGTAATGCCGGTAGCGTTGGAACCCACGTAGGACGGGGACAACTCCTGTACGACTCAAGGCAACAAAGGGTTTTTTCGCGGTTCCCGTCAGGAGGAGACAACACCCGCAGGGCATAGCCCCAGACGGCCACGCACCCACCGGAGCTGGTGGCCGGGTGCCACCTCGGTGCAAGGAGGAAAGCCACCACGAAGAATCACAGGATCACAGAATCACTGAGGCTGGAAAAGACCTCCAAGATCATTGAGTCCAACCTTTGACCAAACACCATCATGTCAACTAAACCAGAGCAGTGAGTGCCACGTTCAGTAGTTCCTTGAACACCTCCAGGGATGGTCACTCCACCACCTCCCTGGGCAGCCCATTCCAATGCCTAACTACCTTTTCAGCGAAGAAATTCCTCCTGATGTCCAACCTGAAGTCCCCAAGAGCTCAATGCTACTTATCACTGCTCTCTAATCCCAACAGTCCAACCATTTAGGGGCTGAGTGGGCTCGGCGTTTGTGAGCAGGGGGACTCAGCAGGGCTAGTGCTCCCCAGCCTACCTTCTGCACACAATGTGGGTTTGAAGTGGGTCAGTGGGGGAGAATCAAGAGATGGAAGAGAGGATGGGGTGGGAAGGCACCCGGCCTGGCTGGGAAGCCGTGCATGAAACTTAACAGCGGTGAAGAGTAAAAACGTGCCTAGACAGAGTCTGAAGAAGACTCTGATTTCTTGTTTGCTTTTTCCCATCAGATATCTGTCCAATGATACATACTCCACAGGATTTGGAGAGCTGTGAAACATAAAGGTGGAGCTTACAGACAAGCAGCTTCTTATTATTTTACCAAAGTACTTAGAAAGAAAACAGAAAATTAATTTCAAGGAAATAGGAAGTTCAATAAAAGTGTGTACCTCATTAAAAAATCCCGAGTGCTGCAGCCTGCAGCAGCTTGAACAGTGCTTGTAGATTCCCCTAAAATCCCTGCACATCAGCATTATCTGGAGTGCACCATGATTTGGCAGCTGGAGGCACATCTAATAGACTCTCCTGTCCTTACTTCATCCCAGCTGTGAGCTCCTACTGAAAGGTCCTACATCTGCACGGATCAAGAGGCTGGAAACTGACAAGAAAATGAGAAGATTGAGCTTCAAGGCTTTCACTAGGAAATAGCTGCCAGAAGAAGGGGGAATTGCCTCCATGTGTCACCACCTGGATCAGACAGCTTATTTTAGGAATGGACTGCATACCCTCAAATCTTCATAGTTAGTTGTCAAGAAAATTTTCACTGTATGTATACCCTATGTGTAGAGAAGTAGCGTATAACTGCGTGCTGTTTTGGCAGTCGTCCCTTTTTCCTAACAGATTGGGGGGAGGAAAGGGAGTCTTCTAGTGTGTCTGTTATTTATAGGGCTGAACTTATGGTTCTTTGTGGAGCACCATGTCAAAAAAGCTTTTTGTCTCTAAACCCAGCAGAGGCTGGTAACAGGAGAGAGAAATCTGTGGGGAGGGGGCAAGATTTCCTGTTAGTTTTTCCCCATGAAGAGTAATGTTTTATCATCAGTAATGATCTATGATTACAAGCAGTGACTGTATCCTGTTGGTCTTGCAAATTAGAAAAATAAAAGCATACATTTAAGTATTTGTTCTCTTGCTAAACCACCTGCAATGCATCGCAGAATTGCAACTGCAGTACAAGTAAGTAACAGCAGAGCTGAACACTGAGTATTCTTAAGAGAGTGAATTGGGTAAACTTTGGGGGCAGATGTTTACTCTCATGGTTTTCCATCCCCCCTGCGCTAATTACTTACACAGCCAAAGATGAAAAGAAGTGTGTGATGCAAAGTCATCGACCAGAGTTGATGAATATTTGTGCAGAAACAGAAAGTACTTCTAACAAGTACTTCCTGTGAGAGAAAAAAAAAAAGCGTTAAAGTTATTACTGAATGTAGTTATTTCAGGTAGCTGAAATTAAGAAGTCTTTTATTCTCTAACTCTTGCACAGATAGAAAGTGAAGTTCTCCATAGACTGACATGATTACAGAGGTGGTGATCCTTGGCTGACCATGCTGGCAAAGACTCATTTGTTTATTGCAGCTTTGTAACATTTCAAGGACCATAAGTGTTTGACTTATGGTTCCCTTCATGAATAGTTTTTGTCAACTGATCCTGAAATAAAATGGATGAAGTGGGTTTGCACCTGGTTTTCACTCTTCTAACCTTGAGTCCGGAATATGAAGATGACAGAGTCCACAAGCTGCCCTTCCTGCTTTGTGACAGACCACTGACAGATGTGACTGTATGGCAGCTGTAAAGCAAAAGTGAAAAGGTTACGTCACTTACAATTTTGGAAGTACTGACAGAGAAATTAAAACAGTAGAAAAAGTGGAACTTAGGGACAAAATATAGACAAAAGTGAACAAAAAGCAAGTCAAAAATATAGGAAATTTAAAATACATAAATGATTTTGCTGTGAATTTTGATTGGTTGGAATGAAATCAGCTTGTACAGGAGTATTTCATAGATGTGGTAAGACCAAGAATCCAGTGCGAACAAGGCATACAAATAACACTGAGAAAGGTTCAAGAATAGTTTTTTGTGCATGGCTAAACTTACATAGTTACAGTGCAGGAGAATACAGCTTAAATATATTTCCACTAAGAGGACAGCTGTCTTTATGCTTTCTCCAAGTTGATCTCATTTGTAGTTTGACAGCTGCCTTCAGGCTTTTAGGCTTTTTCTTGGAAAACATAAAGAATACAAAACATTTCTAAATACCTTAGATTTTTTAAATGCTATGTCAAAAAGTTTAAGCTGCAAAGAATTTTTTAAGCCTAATGTTTACTGCTAATTCTTGTATCTTCTCAATTTTACCAGTTTTAAGGAAGTAAAAGTTTCCTTTTCCTGAAAGTAGCATGGTCTAGCATGTTGTAATGTTAACTGAGTTTTTGTGTCTTATAAATATCTGTTATAAATATCTGTAAATATCTGTTTCTTGTGGTAGTTCAGACCTAGCTTTAGGAATATGCAAGATCCTAATATATATATAACCTCAGATAGATAGAGGATCTTAACCTCAGGTTTGAATCCTGCTAGGGCTTGAAGGTTTCTCAAATAAAGAAACTGTGATCTTACTACATTAGCCTTCTCTAAGGAAAGATTTGCTACAATCCAGAAATTCGTATTATCTTTTCTGGAAACATACCTAGTAACATTTCCTTTTGTTGTAAATTTTAAGAGATGCTCTTGCCCTAGATTCCCCATACTTCTGGCTTTTTACCTGAATAGGGGAAAAAAGTGATCTTCAGTTTGCAGATGAACTGCTGAAAGCTGAGCCTCTACATAAGTCAGGGGTGGGGCCAGAGAAATGCAAACACCATGTGCTGAAATAAAAGGTCCTAAGAAGATGATCACAGCTGCCAAAACCGCTTTAACACAAAACATTGTCTGACAGAAGGAAGACACCTCAACCCATTTAAGAAAATAAAGAAAAATACATCTAAAGCACATTGTAGCATTCTTCTCTTTGGAACAAAGTGTCTTCTGGTATGAGTATTAATTTGTAGGGATGAGCATGGCTCATGCCTAAAGTTAATAAGGGGAGGTCATATTTTATTGCTCAGACCATGTGTAATATATATTAGAGATATTCTTTTATTTTAGCTGTTGTGTGTTTACACAGAATTGTCATACTTTTTGAAAGACAATTTTTTCAGATGAGTTTAAATAAGTTTAGTATGAATGAACTATGTCAGTACTGTATGATCAAGGACATCCTGGGACAAATTCTTTCTTGGACACTGCCTGGCAGTTAGTGCTAATTACAGAATTGAAAACTGTGTGGAGTGGATAGGAGCCTTGAGTTGACAAAATTAACTGTAAAACATATACTGAGTAAAGTAGGGGCCTCTCATTGTACCATTGTGGTGGGTTTGACCTTGACTTGCTGCCAGATGCCTACCCAGCTCTCTTGCTTTGCTTCCTTCATGGAACAGGGTGAGAAAATTAGAGGGAAAAGTTTATGGGTTGGAATAAAGACAAGGACATTACTTAGCAATTACCATCATGGTCAAAACAGACTCAACTTGGGAAAGATTAATTTACTGTCAATTAAAAATAGAGTGGAATGGTGAGAAAAAAAACCAGACAAAACTATAACCACCTTCCCCTTAGATCCTCTGGTTTCTTCTCAGGCTCAACTTCACCCCTTCTTTTCTGACTTCTCCTGCTTCTTCCTCCCTGAGTGGTGCAGGGGCATGAAGCAAGAGCACTGTGATCAGTCCATAACTGCTCCTCTCTGCCACTCCTTCATCCTGATGCTGTTCCTTTCCATGTCCCTGTAAGGGATATAGTCCTTCACAAACTGCTGCACTGTGGGTCGTTTCCACAGAATTCTGTCCTTCAGGACAGACTGCTCCAGCATGGCTTCCTGCCCTGGGCAGCTGCTCCTGCTAGGAGCTTGCATGGCCTATCCACTGCCTGCAGCTTCCTTCAAAACGCATCCACCTGCTCCAGAATGGGATCTTCCATTGGCTGCGTGTGGATATCTGTTCAACAGTGGTCATCCATGGGGTGCAGTGGGACAACCTGCTCCACTGTGTTCTTCTTCAGAGGGCTGCAGGGAATCTCTGCTCCAGCATCTGGAGCACCTCCTCCCCTTCTTTCTCCACTGGCATTGGTGTCTGCAG